AAAACTATTGAATATAGTGTATTCGGTACATGTAGAAAAGTAGAAGCTTGAAGATAATAAAAATGTACTGAAAATCAGTTGAAGTATTTGAGATTCTGAGTGGGGCAAAATCATATATGTATTTTTTCTAATGAAATGAGAGAGAGAGGTAGTATATAAAGAGGAATAGTCAAAGATTATCACCTACATAAAGGTAGGATTTACAAACCATTAGAAAATATTCTCGTGAATCAGAATCAAGAAATATATTATCAATTTGTATTCATCTAGCGAACATTTAAGGTTCATCTTATTAAGGCCCATCTACCATATTTAGAAAAAAGAATTCTTCCATTCATCTTATTTTTCTTCTTCTTTTTTTTTTTTGTTGGTAATTTTTACAGTCTACACGTTTCTTTTTCATGGTAATTTTTTTATGTTGGTAATATAAGGCTTGTTTGGAAAAATTAAACTGTTTTGAAAGAGATTTCATCTTCACAAAGATGATTACGAAAAACTCTCAAGAATATTTTAAAATTATGTTATCCAAAATCCTTTGATTCAATGGTTTAGGAGGATGAGTATTTAAGGGACTAATATGATTTTTGGTTTCTATCTCATATGTGATGTTAGAATTTACATTTTGTATGTTATAATACTTCTAGTATTTTAACATGATAATCCAACCATGTATGGTTCTTGATTTATTTCAAAAAGTTATAATTAATCTTAGTTTTGCACTCCAGTTTCTTATTAATCAAAAAAATATATATCTTATCCATTTGGTAACAACATAGTCAAATAATTATCTATGACTATAGAGGATATCACAATAGAAACTAGATTTTAAAAGAGATTGCTAAGGTTTTTTTCTTATTTTCCAAGCTTTGTCAATTTCAGATTGAGAGTAATTAGTATTGTTAACTTTACATCTTTTTCTTGATATGATTCTTTTAAGGCCAATTATCATGGAAAAATAAATTAGGGATAATTTTTTTATATTATATTTTTGTACAATCTTGGTATCATTTAAGAAATTGGTTCTTTTTATTTATTTAGGATTCATAATATTAAATGTATCTATTTGTTTAATGATACTTAGAGATTGTATTAAAAAATAGTATAAAAAGTTTGTTTTTACATCATTACCTTAAATAATTAAGTTTATAAATTTCTTTCAAAAAATTAAATATGTATAATCATTTTATTTGTATTTAAAATAAGATACTCAATTGAATATTCAATAGCGGGCATCAATCACTTGTATATAAGGAAGAACAATAGGGAATCGAAAATTGAGAAAATTGAGAAGAATTGAGTGGTTGCCCGACGTTTGTGGAGAGAATTGAGAAGAATTTATGGGCCTGCTTGGTTAGATGGGCTATTACTTGAAAGAAATTAGGGAATCGGTGATAGAGAGACGAAATAAGTAGACTAGTGGATTTTTAGAGTGGACCGGAGGGTTGGGTTTAAATGAAATAACTATTGGGCTTCAAAACACCTCTAAGTAGGTTTTTTTAATGATTTAATTACGTAAAGAAATAGGGCCTACTTGGTTAGATGGGCTTTTATTGGAAAGAAATTAGGGAATTGGTGATAAATAGATAGATAAGTAGATTAGTGGGTTTTTAGAGTACTAGGCCCAAGGATTGGGCTTAAATGAAAGAATTATTAGGTTTTAAAACACCAGTAGATCTTTTAATTAGGTAAAAATATAAAGATAAACCCTTTCTCTTTGAACTTCTTTAATTCCACTTTGTTAAGGGAAACAAAATTAAAAATAATAAAAGAAACACAAAAAAAAATGTTTTATAAGGTAGGCTGTACATTAAATGTGTAGTTTGACTTATAAATTTATTAAATTTTTTTTAATGAAATAACATAATAAATAATTTCATTAAAGATGTTTTAATAAATTTATAGGGCGAATATCACTTTTAATATATAGTTCTATTTTAATGAATCCCAAAGAATAAAAAGAAAGTAAGAACAATAAAGACAGTGCCAAGAAGTGGGAACCAAAACTTAGAGAAAGAGAACCATATTTGGTAAAAAATTATTTGCTCCAAAAAGTAGCAACATTAATGTTAGACCTTCTAAAAAGAAGGCCAAAATAACTCAAGAGTCTTTTACTCCTCTCCGTTCATCACTTCCCTACAATTGCTTGCAAGTTTCCTCGTTTACATTTGCTTGACCACATTTGTCAAGTAAATGTGGAAATTGACAAG